ATTTTTTCTTGTTCACAAACCCCATTAAAAAATATTGTTATGTATGGAAGTGTTAAGATTTCTCTGGGAAAGCTTTTGTTTTTCCCAACCATCACATTTATATGGTCCACAGTGAATAGAATAAACCGGACAGATGTTTGAATTTTTTTTGAAGTACATTAAAAAAAAAAGACTATCGCCATTCATATTAGGTTGTTATTCTAGAAGATGAGATCTATCAGAGAGACAAAGGGCATTCTGAAAATATTGTACAGATGGTGTTACAGGAACTAACATGGATTAAATAAAGCACTGCCTTAAATGTTCCTATTTTTACATAATATAATTCCACTGAAATTTCAGGTCATTATAAAATATAATATAATTATATAAAATATAATATAATTATAATATAATTCCATTGAATTTCAGGTCATTATAAAATCAATAAATAAGCAAATAAAAATATGAATATCATCAGTAATAATTTTCTAGTGAACTGTGTGACTAATTTCCTCCAAGCATGAGCACATTTGAGGAAAATTCACAACAGACATGGTTTCTGTTTAAAACCATATTTCTAGCACAAGACTTAGGTAAAGATCCTTCTTTAATTAACCTTCTTCAAAACTAAAGAGACAGCTTTAAAAAAATGAGCCAAAAACAGCAAAAAGGATTACCCAACTGGATGAAGAGACATTTGAAGGACAAGTTCATCTTTCCACCTGTGAAAAGCTCTTACAAATGAAAGATGGACCTGCTGTCCCTTCAATACACCAAAGCTGGGGAAAGATAGAACTATTTTCAGTTATACTTAGTAACAAGGAGCAAAATTAAAAACAGTTATGAACTTGCCAATAATGAGAGATAAATGGTATTCGAATTTGCAGGACTGAAAATGGAGATCCGACTCAGGCTTTTAATTTTCTGCAAGAGGTCAGATGTAGAGGGGACAAGCAAGAATCATCTCTGTCCGTCTGTGCCAAGGGCCAGTGTTTCCACTGATCCACTGTATCATTTGTTAATCCTGTGATTTGGGGAAATCATTCAAATTTTTTTTGTGAAGCTCAGCCTCTTCATCTGGGAATCAGAGCTATCTACTTCCCTCGATTGTTGTGAGGAGTAAAGTAGCTTCTGCATGTGCCAGCATCTAGGACATATCAATGAAGCAGCAATTAGAATTTCATTAGATTGGGGGGGAGGGGGAGGGGTGTATTTTTGTGACCTTTGTTGCTATTTTGAGACATGGCACAATATTTTATCTTTTGTATTACTGAAGCCTTCATTAGTTCTGGGAGAAAATTTTTCAAACTTACTCCACAGCTGGCATACCCTTTTTGAAGATACCCTAGAGAAAACATTGGGGCATTTATCAGAAAACAGAGACAGTGTATTACATAGTGACCATTATAATATTCAAGGGGGCGAGGGGATGTTTAGGCATTGTTTGGAGGTTTAGCTATAAGCCTTTTTCATTATGGCACTTGTATGAAAATAAAGGAATCTCCAGAGAAAGAAAAGTGTTTAAAAATGACAGGTATGGGATTAAAAATAATGAAATACTATAGATTGGTATTGAGAGAAATATACCATATCTGGAACAATAGAATGATGCATAAGTAAAGTAAACCAAAGGGTGCCTGGGTGGCTCAGTCAGTTAAGCGTCCAGCTCTTGGTTTGGGCTCAGGTCATGATCTCACAGTTTGTGAGTTCGAGCCCCACATCTGGCTCTGCTGGGGATTCTCTCTCTCTCTCCCGCTCTCTGTCCCTCCCCCACTTGTGCTCTTTCTGTCTCTCTCAAAATAAATAAACAAACTTTAAAAAACATGCTTTAATAAAACAAATCAATAGGACTCTACTTTCAACTCCAGCATAAATGGCAGTGTGCTGCCATTTATATATTCATTCGTCACATTCCTTTGAGTGCCTATTTGCAGGTTCTATGCTGGAGATATTAAGAGGAATAAAATATATATCATGTTCTTAAGCTATACTTGAGTAAGACCTTCACCCTGTTTACCTCTACCGAGTCCCATATAGGTATCTATCAAAATAAATAACAACACTTTATTGACCTTATTTGCTTATTGATCTGCCTCCTCACTAGACTATAACATCCAGGGAGAGCAGAGGATGCTTTGTTTATCTTTGCATCTTAAACATTTAGTAAGCATTCAATAAATGCATATGAAATTAATATTAATGAATGAGTGGAAGAAACAAATGAATGGAGGCATAAGGATGACCCTGAATTCACTACTGTGAGTTACTCAGAGAAAGAAAGCACACATCCTTTCTCAGATCTCAGATCTCATTCTCGGACAGCACTAAAGTGACCTCTGGCTACATGTGCCACCATGTAATTACCTTATGTATGTTTTACATTGACTGGCTTATTCCTCGTCTGAAAGTTGCAGACCAACAGGGACTTTGCCATTCTTGTTCCAGCACTCAGCCAAGTGCCTGTCGTGTAGAGGGAGCTAAGTCAATATGTGTTAAGGGAATTAATGGGTTGATCATGATACAATGCAAGAATATGGGAACACATTTCAGAAGAAGAATTAGAAAGAACTCAATTGGGGGTATGTAAAATTTGATATGAAAACAGCACAACAAGGTTGTGATATACCCTACAAGTTGCTGTAAGATTTGTTTTAGAACCAAAAAGAGGTCAGGGTTGGGAGTCTCAGACACAGATCTGGGAGTCCTCTGTGTTAGGTTCAGGACTTGACTCAGAGCAGACATTAAATAAGTGTTTGTTGAAAAGTTGCCAAAGGCAGAAATTCTTGAGAGAAAGGGATGAGGAGAGCAAGTGAAGGAAAATGTTTTATTCCTCGCTGTCACATTTCCTTTTACTACTGTAAAAAAAAAAAACAACAAAAGTCCAGATTCATAATACAGAGAAAACCAAATATACAGAAGAGTTGAAACTTTGCTTCCATAATCACTGAGTCAAGCTGTGTGTACATATACCGTATATGCAACCAATCTTGCAATTTAATAAAAAAAAATTTAGTCAACCTACTTGTTATTTTTAATCACTGATTATAGTGAAATTATTTGTGATTGTTTAGCCTGTATTAATTTAGAGACCATCAGAGTTTAGAGCATCTGGGCTGGCTTACATTATTCTTTCAGAAAAAGACTTTCACTCTACCCTTGTCCTATGTCTTTATAGACAGTTACAGTAAGAAATACCTTTTTATTTTTTTGTAATATTATAGTTGAAACTTATAAAATCATGTAGCAAGAAAGAAACTAAGAGGAGCACCTGGGTGGCTCAGTTGGTGAAGCGTCCGACTTCAGCTCAGGTCATGATCTCATGGCTCGTAAGTTTGAGCCCTGCGTCAGGCTCTGTGCTGACAGCTCAGAGCCTGGGGCCTGCTTTGGATTCTGTGACTCCCTCTCTCTCTCTCTCTCTCTGCCCCTCCCCCGCCCCCCCTTCTTCCCTTATCAATTAATCAAAAAAAAAAAAAAAAAAAAAAAAAAAAAAAAAAAAATTAAGAAGAAAGAAAGAAAGAAAGAAGAAAGAAAGAAAGAAAAGAAAGATAGAAAGAAAGAAAGAAAGAAAGATTACCTTGTGTAATGCCTTTATTCTACAGGGGACATATTTAAGCCAAGGGGGAAAAATAACCATTTTTACAATGGTTACTCTCTTTCTGTACTCTCTTTCTGTTGTTAAAAAATAAAAATCAAATGACTGAATAGATTTTCTCTAAGAACCTTAGAGCCACATTGTCCACAATGGTTCTTAAAAACCTCTAGGCGTGGTGCTTTCTTGGTGAACTCTGTCTTATCTTTTAATGAAAACATTTATCTTAAATTGTGACTTAATCCATAAACCACTTCAATCTATCTCAAAAAAAAAAAAGGCAGTCACTTAAAGGAATAATTATTTGTAGAACAAAAATTGTATTCAAAAGTCAGTTATTATCATGTGCTCAGCTAATGGGGACCATAGTCTTAAAAAAATTATTTTCTCTCCCAAATAATGAAGAATTATCCCAAATCCAGGACATCAGCCAGAGAACAGCAACCTATTCTTAGTGTCATATCAGAAAAAAAAGTTGGCTTCAAAGTTGCTGTAAATAGTCTGTGACTATCTCTTAAGAGAGAGGGCACAGGAGCATTCTCTCCTGACAAATCAGCATCATCCAATGGACCTCAAATATCCTAGATATCAACTGACAAGTTAGAAAAGAGTTCAATGTCCAACTCTGGTTCTTTTACCCAACTTCTCTGGCCCAGTTTCCTTATCTTAAAAATGAGAGTAAAATAGAACTTATTCATAGGGTTTTCATGAAAATTCATAGCCTTTTAAACAATGTCAATAGTGGTAGTTATTATCATTATTGTCATTATTCTGTATGAAGCATCAATTATGCACGAGGCACTGAGGTTTAATAGCTAGAAATCGTGTATGAGACAGTCCTTGACTTGAAAGATAACACCCCCCAAAACCCCATTAAGTTTATCTAAGATGATGAGACTCCTAATTTTTAAGAAAAATGAATACATTTAATTCAATGTTATTTTATCTCAATGAAATTGAGCTTTAGAGTTAGAGAGTGACATCACCAAGACAGTGATAGTGTGCTCCTGACTTTGCTCACCATCACGAGAATAAGTAACAGCTATTCAAGAACAAGATGCTACTGAGAGAATCCTAGCATATAAGGGTGAGGCTAAAGCACCCCTCCTGTATCACAGAGACCACGACGGATTGCATTAGAAGGGTAAGTGAAGCAGCTCCCCACTGACTGCATTGGCTGGCCCCCAGGCAGGACAGTATTACATGGAGAGGTCTTCCTTGACCTGGCAGTTACTCCTGTGGACAAAGAGAACGGGGTGGGGGAAACCAGCCTCCCCTAGCATTGTGGGTCACTTTGTGGGAACCCTTACTTTGATCTCGCTCCACAGGGATTGCAGAGGTGGGGCTCCACCACTGGAAATCTGTGATGGAGGAGTGGGGTGGGGTTTAGAACCACCAGCACGAGCATCTTGACAGACTGAATGCATACCTGCAGTGTCCAAGAAGTAATCCCAACCAGCAGTTTTGTTCATCTGCAGAACCAAACGGAAGAAGCACCAAAGAACTTGCAGGGATGCAGATCTCCTTGACTCACATCCTTAAATGAGAAGGTTTGCCAGTCCTAGAGCTCAGTTTGCGCACACGCAGGCAAGGTGCTAAACCACAACCACAGCCACTGTCGGGGATGCTTTCCAGCCCTCCCTGCCCTGTTGGGCTGGTGACAACTCCTGGAAGCTATGTAGCCCAGTAATGCTCAAGCAGAGAGGTGGGTAAGCAGAGCTGATTGCCCCCAGACCAAAACCAGTAGCAGGCATGAAGGCATTCCCGTGGTATGCCCACAAGGGAGACTAACTCCTAGCGAAAATGAGGGTAGCTCCCAGCTGCTCCCAAATGGAGAGCTTGTTCGAGCCTGTTCCAGAATTGGAGAGCAGCCGAGTACAGCTCCTCCCCATTCCACCCAGGCAAGGGGGCTGAGACTTAGCTCCACCCACTGTGTAGAGTGTCTTCCAGCCCAATCTGAGCAGAAGACTGGCAATAGTTCCTGGAAGCGCTGAGGTCCCAGAACTCATGTGGAGAGAAGGGCAGACAGAATTTTTTGTCACACAGACAAAAGATAACAAATGCTGGCATGGATGTGGAGAAAAAGGAACACTTATGCACCATTGGGGGGCTTATGAATTGGCACAGACACTATGGAAAACAGTGTAGAGGATCCTCGAAAGATTAAAACTAATACTACTATATGATCCAGCAATTGCACTTCCAGGAATGGACTCAACAGTAATGAAAACACTAACGGGGGCGGGGGGGAGGCACCTGGGTGGCTCAGTCTAAGGTTAAGCTTTCAACTGCAGCTCAGGTCATGATCCCACAATTCCTGAGTTCAAGTCCCTGGAGGGGCTCCGTGCTGACAGCTCAGACCCTGGAGGCCGCTTGGGATTCTGTGTCTCCCTCTCTCTCTGTCCCTCCCTCTCTCTCTGTCCCTCCCCCACTCATGCGCGCACGCGCACGCTGTCTCTCAAAAATAAATATTGAAAACAATTTTTTTTTAAAGAAAACACTAACTTGGAAACAGATATGCACCCTCATGTTCATAGCAGCATTACTTGCAATAACCAAGGCACGGAAAAACGGAAGTGCCCATCAATGGATGAATGGATAAAGAAGTTATGGCATAAATACCCAATGGAATATTACTCCGTTGTTAAAAAAAAAAAAAAAAAAAGAGGAAATCCTACCATTAGTGACAACATGAATGGGCCCTGAAGGCATTATGCTAAGTGAAATAAATCAGATAAAGACAAATACTATATAATCTCACGTATTACATGTGGAACCTAAAAAACAACTCCCACTACCACCAGAACAAAAACACCAGATTCCTTAAATAAGAGATCAGATCTGTACTTGCCAGAGGTGGGGTGAGGGGGAATTGGAGGAATGTGGTCAAAAAAGTATAAACTTTCAGTTGCAAGATAAATATTAGGAATGTAATGTACAACATGATGCCTGGAGCTAATACTGCTGTATGATACATAAGAAAGATAAGAAAGTAAAGCCTAAGAATTCTCAAAACAAGATTTTTTTTTCTTTTCTTCTTCTTACACTTCTTTTTATTGTATCTGTATGAGGAAGTGGATGGTAGATGAACCTACTGTGGTATTAATTTCGCAGTATATGTAAATAAACGATCATGCTATACGCCTTAAACTTATACAGTGATTATGTCAATGATATCTTAATAAAACTGGGGACAAATAAATAATAACTTATAAAAGTAATGCCTTTACTGTGCTAGAGTAGTCACAGAAGTTTCCTAAGAGAAGTGGAATTTAATATGAATGTGATAGATCATATTGAGCTATTGTTTCACAACTCATTCATTGTTTGCTGATTTTCCTTTATTTTATTTTATTTTATTTTATTTTATTTTATTTTATTTTTGTTTTCTTCCTTTTTTGATTTAATTTTTATTTTTTTTAAATTTACATCCAAATTAGTTAGCATACAGTGCAACAATGATTTCAGGAGTAGATTCCATAATGCCCCTTCCCCATTTAGCCCATCCCCCCTCCCAAAACCCCTCCAGTAACCTTCTCTTCTCCATATTTAAGAGTCTCTTGTGTTTTGTCCCCCTCCTTGTTTTTATATTATTTTTGTTTCCCTTCCCTTACGTTCATCTGTTTTGTCTCTTAAAGTCCTCATATGAATGAAGTCATATGATTTTTGTCTTTCTCTGACTGAATAATTTCACTTAGCATAATACCCTCCAATTCCATCCACGTAGTTGCAAATGGCAAGATTTCGTTCTTTTTGATTGCCGAGTAATACTCCACTGTATATATATACCACATCTTCTTTATCCATTCATCCGTCGATGGCCATTTGGGCTCTTTCCACACTTTGGCTATTGTTGATAGTGCTGCTATAAACATGGGGTGCATATGTCCCTTCGAAACAGCACACCTGCATCCCTTGGATAAATGCCTAGTAGTGCAATTGCTGGGTCATAGGGTAGTTTTATTTTTAGTTTTTTGAGGAACCTCCATACTGTTTTCCAGAGTGGCTGCACCAGCTTGCATTCCCATGATTTTCCTTTATTTTAAATGTTCAAGAAGGCAATTTATCAAGGTTCTCAATTTACTAAGGTACACAAGTATTTGTTTAGTAGACACAAAATAAAAGATATTTTATTCTCTTTTTTTAAATGTTTACTTATTTGAGAGAGAGAGAGTGTGTGTGCCCACGAGCAGGGGAGGGGCAGAGAGAGAGGGAGACAGAAGATCCCAACCCAAGCAAGTTCTGGGCTTACAGCAGAGAGCCCAATAAGGGACTCGAACTCTCGAACTGAGATATTCTGACCGAAACTGAAGTCAGAGGCTTAACTGATTGAGTGACCCAGGTGCCCCAAGATATTTTATTCTCTTAACGCAAGTTAAAATTTGTGAAGTTTCATGATGAAAGGTGTACTACTATTTTACATTGCTTTTAATTTTAGTGTGTCTCTTTAAATAGTAAACACTTCTGAAAGTAAATAATGGCTATTTATTTAAAAAGGTCACATTTTGTGATTATCATACTCCACATGATGAAGTGCAGACAACCTATGACACTACAGCAGGAAGGGGAACCTGCCTTGCCCAAAGAAACTACCTCCAATCAGATCAGAGACAGTGTTCATAGTATTACTAAAATATATCACATTAGTTAAGTTCAAAAATTATTATTGAGTCCCTGATATGCCAGGACACAACTGTAGATAAAATTAAAAATTGATCTCATGTGGCTACATTTCAACAGAGAGCAAAAATGAACTGGTGGCTCAGTCAGTTAAGCATCCGACTCTTGATTTTGGTTCCGGTCCTGATGTCATGGTTGTGAGATTGAGCCCTGCATAGGGCTCCACATTGAGTGTGGAACCTGCTTTGGATTCTCTCTCTCCTTCTTTCTCTCTCTGCTTCTCTCCTGCTCTCTATAAATAAACAAATAAATATCATGTCAAGTAGAGGTAACTGCTAGGAAGTCAGGAATAAACTATGGTGAAGGGACAGGGAGCCATGAGGAAAGAATGGAATAGAGACTTCCATTCAGATAGCCTGGCCACACAAACCTGTAGACACACTGACAGAAGACAGTAGGAAGAACATAACAGAGGGAAAGTTAAGAATAAGCAGAAGTTATAAGGCGGTGGAAATAATGACTAAACAAAAAGAGAAGAGAGGATTCCTTTCGTGGTTAGCAGTAACAGAGATTTTCTCAGTCACTATAATCATTAAAATCACTTACTCCTTGATGCTTAGAGATGGTCAGATTAGGTCATAACATTATGGTGTATCCAGAGCCGTTTGAATTCTCCAAATTTGACTGTGCAACTGTGATCGTAACCAGAATGTTCTTCCATTATTTGTGAGGCATAAGTTCTGTGCTTATTGAGACTGTTTCCTAGTCCTGTGAATTTTTCTCGTAAATCATCAACCATTTCCATTGCCTAAGTATATCTCTGTTCCTTGAAACTTGAAGAACTTGAAAAACATAGAGCTTTAAAGGCAAAAATGAGAGACCTACAGATATTTTAACACAACTAGCATATGCTTCCTAATTCTCTTCTCCTCCTTAAACATCCACATACCCCCAATGTCCTCTTTGTAGAATCCGATTTATAGACTCTTCACTATCCAGTTATGCTCTAATGTGTAAATGTCATTTTTAAAAGATACAACACAATGGCAATATTTTGTAAACTATTTATTGAGTGCTTTCTTCTTCTAAATCTTCTTCCTTAGCTTCTGTGGTAGTCAGCCTCCAAGATGCCCCCAATGATCAGTACCTTCTGGTATTCATACCCTTATTTAGACTCATTCCACCTTGGACCAAGGTTGGTTTGTTTGAGGAATAGCATATGGAAGAAGCAATGCTAGATTACTACAGAGATGAGGCTTTAAGAGCCTCCACTTTCAGTCTTGGGCTGTCTCACTGGAGCATTTTCCCTCTCTCCCTCTCTCTCATCCTGTTTTTCCCTATCTCTCTCTCTCTCTTACCACATACCCTTAGGGGATCCAGCTGCCAGATTGTGAGGTCATTCAGACCACCCCTGGAGAGGTTCACAGGACAAGGAACAAGGGCGTCCAGCCAATAACCAGTAAGGAACTGAGGCCTCCCCCTGAAATGATTGCAGTCCTGGCCGACATCTTGACTGCCACCTTGTGAGAGACACTGAGCCCAAACCACCCACATAAGCAGCACCCAGATTCCTGACTCTCAGAAACTGTGTGGGCTGTTTATTGTTTTAAGTGCTAAGTTTTGGCTTTAATTATTATACAGTATTAGATAAACAATAGATGACTACTATGGTGAATATGACATGTTTTCTTCTTAATCTCCACTTAGCCTCTCTAAATTCCATCTCACCTTCTATGAATGTTCTCTTCCTTTGGACATTACTTAAATGATGATATTCAGCAGAAATATTGTTCCAGACTTCTCCTTTTCTTACTATTTCTGAAAGTCCTTATTCATACCCAAAACTTAGGGTCACTGATTCACTGATGGTTCCCAAATTTATATTCGTGGTGCTGATCTGTTTCCTAACAACTGCCAACTAAGCATCTCCTCTTGGATGTCTCAACGGCACATCAAACTCCATGGACCCTAAAACTAAACCCATTATTATTCTCTTCATACCTATTCTATTTTTTTCTTACATTGGATCTTAGCAAGACAATTTATGCAGTGGCCCAAGTAGAAAACTTCCTCTTCCTCAGCATCTATTTTCAGTCACTTTTTAAGTCACATAATTTCTAGCTTCATCATTTCTCAACTCTATTTCTTCATTTTCATCCATACTATGTTGGGTCAGACACTCTGTCTCTATTTTCCTAGTTCTTTCCTCATCACTCTACAGCACTGAATAGTCTTTCAAAACACAAACTAGAGAAGTCACCATAGAAAAGACAATTTATAAAAAAAAGAAAAGGGGGGGCGCCTGGGTGGCTCAGTCAGTTAAGTGTCCGGCTTTGGCTCAGGTCATGATCTCACAGTCCGTGAGTTCGAGCCCCGCGTCCGGCTCTGTGTTGACAGCTCAGAGCCTGGAGCCCGTTTCAGATTCTGTGTCTCCCTCTCTCTCTGCCCCTCCCCTGCTTATGCTCTGTCTCTCTCTGTCTCAAAAATAAATAAAAACATTAAAAATTAAAAAAAAAGAAAAGACAATTTATGCTTCAACGAAAGACTAAGAGTTGTCTAGAGGACACAGTCTACATTAGTTGATTCTAATTTTCTATTATCTTTAAATTACTTTTAAGCATTGTAAGTTTTAGATAATGGATAGATATACAAATTCTGGCCCGTCTGGTAGTGACTCAGTTGATTTCCCTTCTTCATTGTGGAAAAGCACAGTTTATCTCTGTTATGCATTGATTCCAACATTCCTTTACTCCATATAAATTTGTGCTTTTTGGACTCCATTTATGAATCAGTTTTAACATCTGCCTGGTTCCCTCATGATTTAAGTAAATTCTTAACATGTGTTCATTTTTATACCTGTACAAGAGTCATGATTTTATTCTTTTTTTGAAAATTATCTTTTAACACCTCTGCCTAGATAGTGCCCCTAGTGCATATGAGAGCAAGTCCCAACTCCTGACTATGACATCATGGCCACTGACAAGCTGCTTCCTGCTTAAATCCCCAGTCTTCTCTGCTGCCTCTGCTACATACAGCCTATGCTCCAGCAAAACAACTTGCTGAATCTTGAACATGTTATGCTGTTTTATGTATGACTTTTCTCCACAGTTTTCCTCTGCTTCTTGGTCTGGAAAATCCTATAGGGGAGGAAAACATTTTCCTTGACCCTCTTAGGCTCCCAGGTTGCGTCTGAAAATTAAACCAACCAAAACAGATTAACAAGAGAAAAGCATACAAATTTTAGTGAATTTTCACATGTCCATATGAGACTTTACAAGACAATAAGTATCCAAAGAAGTGACCAGAGCAGGAAGTTTTTGCAACTTTTAGACAAAGAAATATTACATTTGTGAAGAATTGACACGACAAAGGAGTTTAGGTTAGGGGTAGTTAATGGTGAAGAAGTAACCAGGAAGATAAGGGTAAGTTTAATAAGGCTTGTTTATACAGATTTCTCAGACCCCAAATTCCCTGTCTCTGGTGATAAAAGTGTCTTCTCTCCTCTTGATACAGGGATGGTCCTTTCACATGAGAGTTTTATGACCTGTTTCAGGGAAGAAAGGGGCGAGAGAGGAGGTCAGAATGATCTTCCTGCTTCCGCTGTTCTCTCAAATTCTTTCATGTTAAGATATCCAATATGCCAAGAGGCTATAAGTTGCAGTAGTGTGTGCTGAGCCCCATCAATGCCTGCTGCTATGTCAAACCCCACCCATCTCTAAGCAGAGATTAAGTGCTTCCTGTTACATGCACCATACACATTCATTCTTTTATCACACTCTAGGACATCGCTGTTTACAAATCTCTCGGTCTCAGTAAAATAATTATACTCGGAAAGATTACTCTCAGTTTACCACAGTGACCTCATTTACCACAGTTTCAGTCAACCAAAGACTATTTATTGAACATCTGAGATATGTTAAGCCTATACAAGATACAGTCACAGATAATAAGTGAGAACTAGCCCATGTCCTCAAGGAGCTCAGAGTTTAATTGAACACAGGACCTGAATCTCATGGTTAAATGATTATCAATGATGATCAAACACAAAAGTAGGCCCTACATTGTCTTTTGCTTTCTTTTAATTTCCCATTATCACTGCAGTAGATTTCTAGCCTACGCAAAGTAGCCATTTTAAATTGTTGCCCCAAGCAAGAAAAGACATCCTTTTACATGAAGTGGAACATATAAGCTCCAAGGAAATTACTTCCAAATTGGGTTTATTGCACATGCCTTTTGACAAAGAAAAGAATGGGACTACTTGTTTGAAGATTCAAGGAACCTGAACTACCTTGGCTACTCCCTTTCCTCACATCCAGTTCCAGAGAACTATAGATTGCCAGGAAACACGGTGTGCTCAAATAATTAATTAATTATTGGATGGATGGATGGATGGATGGACGGCCAGATGAATGGATAAGTTGAGTCAGATGAATGCTGGGCTATTACTTTGCATGTCATATAATATACCTCATTCGCCCACCTCAAGATGTATTAGTCCCTATGGAAACATCACACATTGCTGATTTTATGAGTTAGAGTCAAATGAAGATTTTGATTTTTACGTGGGTTCTCCCCTATCCAACTTCAACAAATGAATTACTATTAAGTCAGATCATCTTCATTTTATATTTGTATGGCTCACTTAATGTTGCCTTTGGTTACATTTTACTTTATAACTTTCAATCAAACCTAAGAATTTAAAAAAGAAAATTTCGTTCCTTCATTTAATATATTATTGGAAGTTGAGTGTCAGAATAAAGGCCATCTATACAGCTTACTGTATATATCAACATGACTCGACTCTCCCAGTGTCTACATCAACATAACTTTAAGCCTCTAGGGATCCCTTGCTAAGAAAGATAAGTTGCAGATAACTCCTTTGCTGATCCCACAAGCTTCCTAAAAATGCATCAATTTTTCCATAGAAAGCATCAATGACAGCTTACATCCCAAAGCTCTTTACCTCAAAATCTTTCTCTAGTTATGTCCACTAATCATGAGCTATTATGGTACATTCCCTACACAGTTGTAACTAAGCCTCTGCACAGAAAATCTGCCTCAAACCAGATTTCAACATCGCAATAAATGCCCCAATTTTACCTTCCCCTCTCTGAGATAGTTCTGATGTTTTCTCTGCCCAGGCAATAGTCTCTCTTACCGAGCAAAAAATAAATCCAGCTTTACCCTATCACAGATTGTTTTGGTGATTTATGGTGGAGCAAGCATTTAATACTTCAATCGTGCATATCCCTTCGAGGGACACATGTGAAATGAGAGAGAAAATGTTCACATGCATAGATAGCCAGGTGAGCTGAGTTATTTCTGATAGGGAGAAAAGTCCTCTGCCAAGTTCCCCTGGCAAGTCTTTACACCCACAAACCAGCAACGCTTACTCCCAGTTGTTCATCTTCCTTATAATTGACAACCACGATTTTCTAAAGGATGCTCTAATAGTGGATAAAAGCATATACAAATGGCAGAATTTATCTATAAATGTATGAAATAATAATGTCTAATAATAACATCTACCTCTTGGGGTTGAATGAGGATTAGTTGATAGATAACAAGTGCTTAATATACTATGTAAGAAGTATTCTATCTCTACTGAAGTCATTAATAAAAGTATTGACCATAGCTAAATGAATATAGGATTTTAGCAATGTTAGGGAAGGTTTCCCTAATTTTATATAAATCTGTTAATCAACAATTTTTCTGGTACAGTGTTCAACAAATGGCAAATTTAACTATCATTTAGTTTATATTTCTCTAACTTATCTACCCAAACATCTAAACACATTATCTAAGCATAGAAACATAGTATTCTAGAGTATTTTCCTATTCTTAAGCATAGCAACCCTATCTAAAAAGAAAAAAAAAAAGGAAACATGATTTGCGTTCAACTGACTTACTTTTATGTCCGTTTTCATCTTGGAGAAATTTCTAGAAGACTGGAATGTACTGTTAGCAAAAGGAAGAGTTCAGGCAGTGGGTGAGGCGGTGGGAAGAACATGGTGGGCGTGAAGATGGAGAAAAGTCTCTTTAAGGGGACGGGAGGGGGTCTTCATGCAGAAGTGAAGAGTCACAAAGTCAAACTAAAGTAAAGCAGATAACTGCTTCTTTGCAAACACTGCAGATAGCATTTAGAATGTCACTTTTCTCTTTTTTGAAATTTGGAGTTGGGAGAGAGACACTAGATCAGCATTCCTCAAAGTTCTCATATTTCTAAATTTGTCTCAAGGCCCAAAGGCACGAGATCACCAGCCTGACCTATGGATTTCTGAGACTCACCTCACCATCTTGTGGCTGGGACTTCAGAATGGGTTTAATTTCCTCCCGGCTCTGGTGACTTGCACACAGTCCATCTCTAAAATTTAGTTCCTTCAGGCTTAGTTTCCAAAAAGGATGTTGAAGGGAAAATGTAGACAAAGTTATACACATGCAAGATGTCCCAGGAAGTTTATAGTGCTTGCAGGAGGCAGGTGAATTACTCATGCAAACCTGCATTCTTTGTTGCGTACCTCACCAAAATATGGTGACATTTCTAATTGGATGTGACTGCCAGAGCATAATGTTTATTGTTTATATATAATGTTATTTTTAGGCCTTAAGAAAAAGAAACTATTTTCTTTCTACAGGAAAGCTGTCTCTAGAGTAGCTATATGAATATTATGTTGTCTTTTCATAATACTTTTTTAAAATACTGTAAGTCAAAGGATAATACACTCAATCCATGAGAATCTTCCAACCCTTGAGTGTGGAAATGTTTGTTAAGGCTATTATGGTTCCTACAGACACTTATTTTTTTTTTTTTAATTACAAACACTTATTTTCAGAAAATGAGTCTTTTAGTTAGAAAATTATTCAAAGCTTTAAATTGAAAGCACACTGAGGTCACAGGGTTCAATTTTTATTTACCCAAGGCAGAATGAAATTTTCCTGTCTGAAACAGAAAGAAAACTTTTTCTGTCTCTGTTTCTGAGGTTACTTAATGAACAGAATAACTTCTCTCCCTGGTGAACCATCTCCTGTTACCACTGAGGAAAATGTAAGAAGGAAGATCAGGAAGAGAAAATAGAATACAGAGAAGAGAAAGACCCAAAATCCAATTGTAATAAAAATATTTTGAATATAGAAATGATACAGAATTCAAATCACAATGTGAAACAAATAAAAGTTACCTGTTTATGTTACTGTACGTTGAGATGGTGAGAATTCTCTTAACAATGCCACAGGGCAAAGTCAACATTTCTTATTGCAATTCGAGAAATAAAAGCAATATAGCTTTCTCTTCTGCCTTATTTTTAAATAAAATCCTAATACAAGAATAATTGGATCTGAGTACCAGAAAGCCAGATTAAAAAAAAAAAATACGGAATATTGGATATATGTAACAAACAGTACCTTCCTATCCAACATTCCTTAAGAAAAGCAAATTTTCCTGAAAATATTAAATTTTTTCTAATTGTGCATTATGAGTGTTTGAAAAGATACAAATAAAATGAAAATTAAAATTCCCTAGGTTCAAATACATTTATTCTGACACAAAAAAGAATTAATTATAGTATTAAATTCTAAGTGCATAAATAAGAAAGAATCATTTGATGTTAACATTTTAACTATTAAAAAAAGAAACTGCTTGTTTAAGCTTATTTGCCTTTAAAATTAAGTAAGACTTGTCATATTTAGACCATAGCTTAATTTATTAAACCCGTATAGGCAGAGGAATAGTGCATTTTGTGTAGCGTATTTGAAACATTGCAGATTTTACATTAATGTAATTTGATTCAGTAAAGTGTTACTCTAATCCTGCATGTGACTATATGGAACTAACGAAATGAATAATGAATAAAAGCATGTCTTAGTAATTATTCACACAGAACACATAAACATTTTTAAGACTTGTATTTCCTAATTGCTTTCCAGAAGTTTTGCTTGTTTACAATTAAATTTAGACTTCATGAACAGCGTAAGAGAGAGAATGTCCATCTTGCAGCATACTTACCAACACTGAACATTATTGTTTTATTAATCCTTACCAATTTAAATCCTTCCAATGATGTTGTTGTAGCTTTAATCTATAATTGTTAAATGAATATAAATGTAGATACATAGAACAATTTTCTATTTTTTTAGACTTCTATTACAACAAATTTTTAAAATATGGAAAAGTAAGAAACACAATGTATTAAACACAGTATATGCAAAACACTTGTCACCTGAATTTAACAACTGTTAACATGTTAGCCTTATTTACTTCATCTATTTTTTTATCTTTAACAGTGCCATTTATCAATGCGATTTTCAACCCCTTCCCAAATTATACTAATTTCTTATTGTAATCTCATGCACAAACTTCATCTCCAATTTCTCAAAAATGTCTTTTAACACTTGGTTTGTTTGGATCCCAATCCACACATTGTATTGATATGCCTCTTCAGCCTATAACATACCATTTGAATTCATGATTATTTGTTGAAAAAAAGTGGTTCATTTGTCCCATGGTAATTCCCACGTTCTGAATTTGGCTGATTATGTCCTCAAGGTATTGTTTAACGTGTTTCATTAGTCCCTGTGTTGCTTGTAAACTACTCATTATATTTAAAAACCTGATTAGATTCAGGTTGAACTTTCTGGCAAAAATGACTTCAAAGATTATTCTGTGTAGTATATATTGTATCCCATTGGGATGTTTCTATTGTCTGAGTACTCCATTTTGAGTGCTCTATTTTTTATTTTAGCTGCAATTCTTTTATAAATAAGAACTTTCTCTTCTTATTATTGATACTGAAAAACAGCCCAAGAGAAAGGTAGTATAAATGCTTGAAACTTTCCCTTTATTTATCACGTTTACCCTATAACTCGTTATCCTAGAAAACACTCTACTTGATCAATCAGGTTTTGTTTTGTTTTTGAGAATTATTATGAATTCATACACTTTTATATATTTTACTTGATCTTCTTAGTATCAAAAAGTTGGTATTTTTCTTCTTGGTGATGAAATTACCCATCTTTGGCCAGTAAGAGTCCCTTCCAGTTGGCTATGTGTCTTTTGTTTTGCATTGTTTTGTTTTGCACTATCCCAATAGTTTTTGACAGCTTCTTTGCTATTGAGGAGGCTTATGTTGTGTACTACCTGTTCCTGGTTTGGAATCAGCCATTTTTCCAGGAATACCTGGTTTGCTTTCATGTGAAACCATTATAAGGATCACAATCTCTGCATTAGAGACATTTACTGCTATGATTTTGTTACAAATTATAGGTCTTCAATGGACAGAAATAAGAATTACATTTTTTTTGATAAAGATAAAATAAATCCTGAATTCATTCCAATATTGTCAATTTGTATTAAGAATTATAGAGATTTCACTTAAAAACTGTATCTTAAAACTGATCTTGTTTCTCTGAAAAATCATGATTCCTAAAAATATCTCAATAATTATTTGTTTAATCATGATATGTATTTTCCCAAAATAATAGTATCAACACTACCACTAACCCTAAGCCCTCTGAGTGCAGTTTGAGACTTCTTGGGTTTTTCTTTTTCTTTTGTCTTAGGTTTGTACAATTAAAACACTGTTTTAAAATAGCTTGAAATAATTATTTTATGTGTAGTTATTCCAGCAACTTGCTCTATAGTTAGGTTAATTTGCTACAGTGGATTTTGGTTTGGGGAAGATTTTTGGTTTTGATTTGATTTGATTTGATTTTAACTCCATAAAACAGTAAGCAGCTCCATATCCAAAGCTATAAAACAAAGTACAGAGAACTCTGGCTTCCTACTTTCAGTCTCTACATCCGTAGATAATCAGTTTTATTACTATTTGGTCTATCATTTCATCGTTCTTTTTTTAATGGATATAAATAGATGTACATGTTTATATTTGCTCCCTGTTTTTACACAAGATATAGTAGTCCATTCGGTCTCTTTCCTTTCTTATAAATGTCTTTGTATAGTTGCACTGCTTGAGTTAGAATCCAAAGCCAGCAATTTCATTCCTAAGTATTTAAACAAAGAATTATCAACATAGGCTCACATGAAGATTTCTACACAAATGTTCTAGAGAGTGTCATTTGTAATAGTCAGAAACTACAAACTACTCAAATGCCCACCAACTGGTGAACGGATGTGGTATATACATGCAATGGAATATGACTTAGCAGTAAAAAAGAAACAACCTTTGACACATCCAGTAATATGACTGGATCTCAAAAATATCTTGCTAAGTGAAATTAAAAAACAAAAAAACATGACACGAAAAAGATGCATATATATGATCCTATTTACCTAAAATTACGGAAAAGACAAAACTCACCTGTACTATCGGGCAGCAGATCAGGGCAGTGGGCAGAGGAAAATGACTCTGGAGAAGCATGGAGGAATGTCTGGGGCTAAGTAAGTGTTCTATGTCTTGACTGCAATGTTAGCTTCACATGTTTATACGTGTCTCAAAACTCATCAGATTGCACGATTAGAACGTGTACATTCTATGTAAGTCATACCTGAACAAAGTTAACTCTTAAAAAAAAAAGATTTTTACTGTACTGTTATTTATATTGTCCACAAATATAAGCTGAAGGAAAACAAGTACTTTAATTCTATAAGGACACGTGTCCAAGAGGGTTGAAGAGTGTGGATCTCTGATTATCTAGCTTAAGGTATGAGATAAACTGATTTGGAATAATTATGGAATTTTTCCGACAGGCAATTCCCCTAAATATGTTTCTTTACAGCTGAGTTTTTGAGCTTTTGGCAATACTGTGTGGCAGAACGTTCAAGGTCACGCTGAAGTACAGATGTCTTATGTTGCTGAATACGTGAAACCCATATTCTTTAGCATTGAACAGAGCTAAGGATAAGATAAATATCTACTTGTAAGAAAATAGTAATAAAATGTACTAATTTCCTAAGTGAATCATATATTTCTATTTTGTATAGTTTATAATTTCCTGGGTCTTTTTTATGGAAAGAGAGAGCAGAAATATTTATTGAACATCTATTATGTGACAGATGCTTAGTTAAATATTGCAATGGTATGTATTCTCACAAAAATCCAGTATAGTATGTGAAACCACCCTCACTGTACATAAATACAGCAGGATTACTTTATTTTTCAATTTTGAAATTCCTCATAGTTTATTTAA